CTATTCCCATTAACCAAGGAGCAAGTTGCTATCCAGTTGAGGTGGTTTGTAAATGGTGCTGTGTCTAGGTGTTTGACCTGCTGCATCGTTTACAACCACTTTCCCATTAATAAAAGATCAAGTTCCTATCACCTCAAGATTATTGTAAACGGTGAAGCAGCTTAATGTTTCTTAAGATTAACATAAACTGCTTCATCGCTTACAAAAACCTTTGGAGCTGGTTGCTATCAGGTTGGGATGGTTGTAAACGATGCAGCGGCTGATTTAAATGTTATATATTTTAGCTTGTCGTGATGCATCGTTTAAAACAAACATCCCTTTAGCCAACAAGCAAGTTGCTATCACGTTGAGATGATTGTAAACGATGCAGCGGATCATTGTTTTCTTTCGAACATTAACATGGCCTGCTGCATCGTTTACAACCGTCTTCATGTGACCCGCCTTTAACGTCTACCCTGTCTGTCTCTCTTCCGCCGGGCAGTCTTCTATTTGCTGGAGGAGCGGCTCAGGCCGGCCAAGGCCAAGGCTCAGGTCAAGGGTAAATGGCTGCGCTTCAGAGCCACTGAGTCCCAGAGAAATTGCTAGACTTATAGATAGGCCCACCCAAAAACCCAACCCTAACAAATGAAAACAAATCTTTTAAATACTAATTTTAATCCTTGGATTTTCGGCTATTTTCCGTAGACACGTCACGAGCCCGCAGGGAGGGCGAAGTGCCCGGAGTGGATTACCACTTTATCACGCGCCAAGCCTTCGAGGCGGATATTTTGGCGCGTCGCTTTGTGGAGCACGGTGAATACGAGAAGGCCTACTACGGTGAGTCTTGATCGATAAAAGGTTGGACTTGTCATATAACATGTTCTTGGATCTTCCACAGGCACATCACTGGAGGCCATTCGCACGGTGGTGGCCAGCGGCAAGATCTGTGTGCTCAACCTGCATCCGCAGAGCCTCAAGCTGCTGCGCGCCTCCGACCTCAAGCCGTATGTGGTACTGGTGGCGCCGCCCAGTCTGGACAAGCTGCGCCAAAAGAAACTGCGCAACGGCGAACCCTTCAAGGTGAGCTTATAAATTTGTATTCCCCTGCAGAGGGTATTAAGATTTACGACCCAAATGTGTATATACATATATCTAACCTTGTCCGTTTGTCCGCCCGTTTATCCGTTCGTCTGTCCGTCCGTTTCTACTCAAACTAGTCTTTTAACTTTAAAGCTATCGGGATGCAATTTTCCCTAAAATCTTCTTTCTTTTGCACTTAGTATATAAGTCAGAGCAATTCGGAACGCAAAAAAAAAAAATCAGTAAAAATAATATACGGTTTCCGTCATTTAACTGCAAGAGTATATGAACTTGGGCTTGTCGAAGCTAGCTTCCTTTTTTGCCTTCGGTTCCAATCAAATTCTAACCTTGTGTTTTCTCTTTACCAGGAGGAAGAGCTCAAAGACATCATTGCCACGGCCAGGGATATGGAGGCTCGTTGGGGTCACCTGTTCGATATGATCATCATCAACAACGACACGGAGCGCGCCTACCACCAGCTGCTGGCCGAGATCAACTCGCTGGAACGGGAGCCGCAGTGGGTGCCCGCCCAGTGGGTGCACAACAATCGCGACGAGTCATAATGGGGTCACCAGCCCCGCCCCCACTACACCGCCCACTTCCCCTAGGATCCACCCGCCTAAAACCCAAACAAAATACAAACCAGAAACCAACCCAACTCTTTGTAAATACAATTTTCAATTGAGCCATGAAGCGGAGAGCAGGATCGATTCCAGTCCAGTAGTTCGGCTTGCCTGCCGATGCGATGAACCCCCTACCCCTCCAATATTATATATATATATATATATTTATATACTATTTGTTGCATATGTGCATTTTAGTCTTAGTGCGAATTGTTTTTAATCGTGTGTACCCCTGTTTTGAAAGCATTCCAATACAAAACCCCTTTATGTATGTTCACAAAATTTTGTTGTTCGATGAACCATTTTGCGGGGATGCCACAGAGAAATCTAGAAATCTAGCACTTTAGTGATTTCTGTGGCATTGCCGGTTATTATTATTATTTTTTTTATTACGACTACCACTAACTTATATTGTAAACCTATTTTTTTTTTTGTTTAAACTAAGCGAGAGCACTTCCTTAATTTCAAGGGGCAAATTGAAATTGTAAAATAACGAATCAGCGATGGAAGGCCAGAAACGATATGATAGTACCCTAGAACCCAATAAAATGTGTAATAATACCCATAAGCGACTCCGAATATTAACAGAGCCAGAACAATCCGTAGGCAGCTGTCCAATGGGAGATCCGATGGATACAGATACAGATTCAAATTCAGATACCGAAACCGAAACAGAGACATAAACAGAAGCAGATTCAAATGCAAGTGTTGCAATTACGTAATCTATTTACTTTATAAAATATATACTATACGGATATACATACACATAAATTATAAATCGAAGCGTACTTAATACAATTAATTTTTAAAACAAAACGAATGCAAGAGCAAAGCGAAAAAATAAAAAAAACGTTTGAAAGAGAAACAACAAAATCAGTAAGTCATTGCCAAAAAAAAAAAATTAAATAAATAAATGGGAGTTAGACGACGATGATGATGATGATGAGGAGATTTAGGAGAATCAACTTAGAGAAACCACTCCACGAGCGAAATTGTTAAAAACAAAAACGGATACGGAAACGGAAAAACAAAATATTTAGCCAACTTTAAGCACTGTAAGATAATGGAAAACCCAATAAACGAATGCAAATAGTAAGCCGGCAAGAAAATGCATTAGACTAAGGCATCAAAAGAGCAAAAGAAAAAGCAAAAAACAAAGGATTTCCCAAGTAAATGTTGTTGTAATTAATTATTTAAACCAATTCGTCTAGAGAACAGGGAGGGCGGGATGCAAAGTTGGTTTCAACTCCAACCACAACTAACTAACTAACGAGCCGACATAGTTGCGATACGAAATCTACCATGCATATAGAGGTCTATACAAATTCCATTGAACAGCAGCTAAAACCAGAATTTTATATTAAAAGATGAGATGTATGGGTCAAGTAAAATAGCAAACTATGTTACGCGATGTTGAACACTTGAAAGATTCTAAATGCGGATGATATCTAAATATACCTAAATATACATATACGGTCCGGTTTCCGGTTCCGTTTCGATTCCAAAATGGATAAATTGGATTTGCTGCAGAGTTTCCCCCAGATCTTATCTTATCTGGGATCACTAGTAGATGCTTGGATTTTGATGTTTTTGTTTTTGAGATTGATAAATCGAATTCGGAAATGGAAACGGGACTAGTAATAATAAAATTCGAAAATATTTTTTTTTTGTAGTCAACAAGGTATAAAAAATGTGTGTGCAGTAAATCTGTTTAAGTTTTTATTTATGTATGTGTGTGGTGTAGCAAAACTAAACTAAATACGAAACAAATACCTAATGAAAAACAAAATGGATTACAAAATAGGCACGGTTTAATAGCCATTGTACGAAATTAACGACATTTATGAGTAACCCTAACGCAAGAATGCGGACAAAGTCAGATGAAATAACAATATTAATAATAATAATAAAAAAAATCGACAAACCAAGAAATATAAAATTTAGACAGTGTTTTTCTGGGTGGAAGCTTGGTTTTTTGGGCTCTAAAGTTTGAGTAAAGAAAACAAAAATGGTCTTTTCGAATGGAGATAATAATTATCTACAAAAAACGCTTTGGTCAAAATCACCATGGGGACTTAGCCCATCAAATTTGCCAACGATATAGTAACTCTCACAACAAAATATAGAACAATTTTTTTGAAAAAAATTTTTTTTTTTTTTTAATTATTAGAAGAAAACATTTTTGTTTAGAAAAGTAAAAGATTAGTCATACTTAAGTTTGAATAATAGCAAGGAAAAAGGAATCTGATTGAAGAAAATATCTTATATATTTTTAAATTATTTATTTTATTGCATCACAACATTATTGATTAAAAACTGAAATTTAAGCTTTTTACCTTTTTTTACGCGCGCATATTTTGAATGTATAAAGTAGGCTGGATTTTTTAGGACGTTTGTCAATCAAGTACGTTTTCACATTAACGACTTGGCCACTCGGCAGTTTTGACAAAAACTTTTTACCTGCTTTTATTATTATTATTATTTGTGGAGCCGAGCAATCGAAGCGACAGGATCTGGACTGAGAAGCCACCATGGCACCACCGCCGCTGCCTCCTCCAGTGGCCAATATCCCCCAGCCGCCGCTGGCCTCCGCTCCACCGCCACCGCCAACGGGGCAAAACATAGCGCCATCGGGAGCGTTTCCGGGTGAGTTTGTCCTGGTTAAAGGGTAGTCTTAAATCTAATTAAATCCCTCTGACAGGCTCACTGACACCCGGCTGGAATGATCCGCCACCACTTGCGGGGGATGCCCTGACCCCCAATGCCAACAGCCGCCGTCCACGCCTCGATCTTCGCAAGCGCGTGGCCCACCCGCTGGACGGCAAGTCCACCGGCCTGGTAAGCATGGGTCCACCTGCTATGGACGCCGCCTCACCCCGTCCCGTGGCCATGGTGCCGCCACAGCGCCAGAGCTCCCAGCCCGAGCTTAACCATACACTGGGCGGATCACCGGATGTATTCGTTGGAGGAGCTGGCCCCAATGCCAACGCCAATCCCATGCGCCTTCCACCATTGCCCCAGGCGATCGGCATCGATTCCTCCAAGGTGCCGGTGGCCAAGGTGCCGGTGGCCAAGGTGCCACCAAGACAGAAATAACACGTAGATGTCGCATAGTTAAGGGCCTAGATTAAGGAACTTCAAAACACTGTGTTCTCGGGCTGGCTGCCAAAATCATTATTTTTCTACATAATCCAATTAAGACACCTCACGAACAATACAAAACGCAAATGGCTGGGCTGTTAGGGGCAACACAAACTCAGAAATAAAGGTTATAAATTAGAATTTACCAATCATGTTGATTATAAACTACCTAAAAGCTTAAATTTTGTAGCACCCTTGGCATAAGAGCCAAATTTATTCAACAACAATTAACAAACAGAAGCGAAATGCAGCTAAAACAGGCATTGTCGTTCCTTACCAGGCCAACGGAGTGCCATCGTAGTTGACAAAGCCGCCGTTCTGCTTCTCGCCCAGCTGGCTGATGGTCTGCACAATCTGACCCGTGCTGGTGGGCACATCCAGGGGCGCATTGGCGCCACCCATGTCGGTCTTCACCCAGCCCGGATGCAGGCTAACGCACATGATGCGCTGCGGATATAGATCGACGCTCAGCGACTTGGTGGCCGCATTTAGAGCCGACTTTGAAGTGCGATAGGCATACATCCCACCATCGGTGTTGGCCTGAATGGAGCCCAGGATCGAAGACATGTTGATGATGGCGGCACGTGCCACGCCCATCGGCTGCGACTCGTTCGCCTTGGCCGCCTTCTTCAGCAGCGGCAGGCAGGCCTTGGCCAGCATAATGGGCACCACCGTGTTGGTCTGCAAAGAGTCCATCAGCTCCTGCGAACGCACGGCCGTTATCCTCGCCGATTTGGGCGCTATGCCGGCGTTGTTGAAGAGCACATTGAGGCCTTGCTCCTGGGTCACGCCATCGATGTCGGCAATTAGCTTGTCGTAGGCCTCAAAGTTTCTAAGATCTGCGGTGGAATTTCAGTTGTTAAATAGTTGTGGTTGATAAGTGAACTTTACTCACCAATCTCCAGGATGTGGATATTTGAGTGGTTCTTGGCCAGATCCTCCAGCTCCTGTGGTGCGAATAAAAAGAAAAGAAGGGAAGTGTTTAGAAAGTGTTAATTTTCCAAAAAGACTAATCCACATAATAATATATCAAAATTAGTTATTCTCACTTTTCTCTCACAAACAAAAAAATGTATGTTTAAAAATGTAACTAATTTAAATTCAGTTTTTATTTAGTTAAGAGCTTCTGCTGTTTCTAGTCAGCTTTTATAAAGTTAACACGAAAATACAAAGCCATTCAGCAAACTAACTAGCATTTCAAAAAGCGCGCCAACAATTAGCCAGTACACCAACCTAGCATAGCGGATACACACACCCAACACTACCGATATCTTCTCTGATATCGATATTTTCACAGCTATCGATTTCCCAATACTAGAGAAATTTGATAACGATCGATGAATCGATACTGCCTTTCGCCACCTCTACTCCCCACGTTCGTACGAAAGTAAGTACAAAAGCTATTGCAAAAGTTGGCCGCTTATTCGTTTCGAGCTTTCGTTTCGCGAGTGCCGACCGCCTAAAACACGCTCAGTAGTTTTCGACCGCCGTTTCGGTAGTTTTCTATTTCCGCCACTACAACATTTACTATCCAACGTTGATCCTTGTTTTCGCACTTATTTACCTCGAGAAGCTGCCAAAAACACAGATAATGGCGCCCGTGCAAGGTGAGTTTACGGTTATTTGCGACTGGAAGGCGGGAATAACCGGGTAAATTACTGGTTATTACCATATAGTATAGCTATAAAGGTTTAAGTTCTTGTGGATTGTTCGCGTAGTTTCTGAGGGGCTGTGAGTCACCCGGCGGTTTACTGGTCAAATCCAAACTTACCTTGGCCTGTTCGCGATTGCGGCAAGTGGTAAAGAGATGCTGCGGCGGCTGGGGAAGACTGACAAGGGCCTTTACCAATCCCAACCCCAGACCTCGATTGCAGCCGGTAATCAGGATGGAATTCATGACACTATGTTTATTCCTTATGCCTCCGTCGATCTGCGATCCAAGTTTCTGCTCCAAATCTAATCGCGCACTTGAGATAAAAGTCCAATAAAGGGCGGCACTATTACTGACTGCCGTCTGACGAGGGGGATTTCACCAGACCCAGACCCAGAGTTCCAGATGCAGATATCAGGCGACTTTGTTGCCGTAACACAAGCGTAAAAATAAAAACGTAAATTCTGACAACCGGCTGTGTGTGTTCCCCCGGGCAGTGTTGCCAACCATCCGCAAGAGTTATCGATACGGCGCATTGCCAAACGTGCGTTTCGAAAAATTCTAATTGGCATTAAGGCGGAACACACAACTGTTGCAAATCCGCTTCACCAATTGGGATCCCGATCCCAAGCCCAATTCCATTCCACATTCCAATGTATTCCCTTATTTTCATTTACCCAGCGCATTTGCATTTGCGCTCTCCCTCTCTCCTTTTCTCTCTGCTTCTGTTACGTAGCCGTTTATCGGCCCGCTTGCCCTCCCACCGCATTCGCAGCATTCCCGGCCAGACCATCGACGTGTTTGTGTTGTGTGCTCCTCCGTCTCCGTCAGTTTTTCGCCCTTTTCGCGAATAGTTTCGTTTCCAGCTTCCAGCTGCTGGTGGTAATTGGAAAGGGGGGTGGGCTTCAAGATGAACAACTTGTGCAACTCGTCGAGATTCTCCGTTACGTTGTTCGTGCGGCAGTGCTCGACGATTTTAACGTCGAGCATTCGAGAGAGAAACAAGTGTTGTTGGATTTCCAGTTGTTCGGGTGCACAACAAACGTTCCAGCGAACGATGAGCTCAGGACAGCGAGGATCGCGCGACAGTGCTGGAAGTCCAGTGGCGGGGGCTGCTGGAACGGGCATGGGGGCCGGCACCAGTGCGCCCCCCTTCCAGCATCCCCATTGCGACCGGGCGGCCATGTACCAACAACCGGTGCGAAAGATGAGGACCAAAGGAGGTGAGCGTCGATATCGATCACCACTTCTCGGGTTGGGGGTTGGCAACGCGGCCCGATAGTCGGGTTTCCCTCTCCATTTGTTGTTTCTTTTTTTGTGGGCTTCTTGTGTTTAACCGACGCCATTATGCAATAGCCGTTAGTTGCCGCAGACCATTACTTTGCTCTTATTACTTGGCTTATCGGGTTTCGTACCTGCGGCACGTATTCGCAAAGGTTTAGGCCGCTCCATCACATTTGCACCGTCATCGCCAATCGTCATCGCACCCCGTCCAACTGGATTTACAGTCCGGGTCGCAAAAATAGCACCCACTTAGGGTATAATGTTGAAGTACTTGGTCTGTGCCATCGTCGTGGGCGCCAAAAATGGCGTTTCATCAAAATATACTAACCAACAAGGTTCTGATTCATACATTTCTTATTTCATGATTTTTAATATTTCAATTAAATAGTAGTTACCTAAAAACCATCTTTAGTCATTTGTTATTAAGTATTTTCTTTAATGACGTCACATGTTTTTTATTATTCTAATAAAATCTACTCTTCAAAATGCTCATTTAAAAATAAAACACTCTATGGTTAACATTTTTCTAATTAAAAAACTATTGTAGAAATTTCTAATGGACTTCCCCTCTTAATTCTCTACTTATTTTTAGACAAATACCAGTCTTAAAGTGGCTCTTAAAGATTATCAAAAAAAAAAACACCTTTGATAAGAAAACTTAAATATCATCGAAAATATTTATGTGTTTATAAACGTATCCACGAAATCAAGTTCTCATGTTAAATAAATAATTAGCCAATCGATCTTCGTGTCGCGGCTTTTATTTCTAAAAACAACAGGGCAAAAGTAATATAAACATCATATACAGAGTTTTAAATTGCAGTTTAGCGGTATGATAGATTTGTTTATACCACCCGACATTTGTACACATGTGTGAATTTCGTTGGATGCTCTTGAACAACCCTTTGCGGAATGTTCGAGAATCGCTTTATGATGATTTCACCATATCGGTAGTGGTGTGCATTCCGTATCTATATTATCCGTATCTGAATCTGTATCTCTGCTCGACAGGCAAACATCTTCGATACTTGCATCATCATTGCCCTCCGTCATCGTCATTCAGTTCCGCAATTTTAATTGCAGTGTGTGACGACGACAACAATCGTTTATGGTCGGTCCCCCGTTTCAGTGCAGGATTGATATGCCAGCCGATTAGAACTGGTGTTGTTAGTTTTGGGGCGTAACCATGGTGAAATCCAGCAGGTCAAAGCAAACCCCTGGGCGTGTGGGTGGGCGGACATGGGGGCGTGGTAGGTGGCCATGTCGCCGGATGATTGCTCCAGTTTGATTCGAACTCTCTGACCCAGTGGCATGCTATCGCCGCCTGGCATCTGGGGCGAAGGAGCTCGGAGATTGCAGGGTGCAGATTAAGGACTACGGATTGCAGTAGGCCCAACAGTCTTGGTCTCCCCCTCGGTCTGGATGCATCTGTTCGAGTTTGTGCCCGTTTCCCAGTTGGTCGAGGGCGAACCACGCCACCGGAGGAGCATCTACCGATCCGCCTATCTGGACATACGACTGCGCGAGGAGTCGACCAAAGGCAGGAGGGGATTACTCTTATCATTGGTTAAAACTAGTCATGATAGTGGGTCAAGAACCAGAGAACTTGTGACATATCATTGATAAGGCTTCTGAACTAATCTAGATACTGGTTAGGTAGGAAATAGATAGCTGTAATGTTTAACATGGTTATTATGGTATTATTTCGATAACAATGATATTGGAAAGGCATGTCATTCCTAAATCCAGCTTTATTTAGCTAGTAATGAATATATATCAGAGGAATAGGTAGAGATTCAAGAACATCTGCATATTCTGGTAAATTAAAGTGATATTTCATATTAGTAAGAGAAAGTTCCCTTAAAAATGAAATATTACCATTTATATAAAGGAAGTTATAGTGTTCTCTGATCTACCATTATTAAGCTCAAGAACATATGTGTATAACCTGGTAAAAGTTGGGATTTTTGAGATTAGTAAATACTTATGAACTTCCAAATATAATATGGCCCCTCGAACCATACTAATTACAAACCAATTCCCTTTTTCTCCTCCAGGATCCTACGACTACGACCTGATTGTGATTGGTGGCGGATCAGCTGGCCTGGCCTGCGCCAAAGAGGCGGTCCTCAATGGAGCCCGTGTGGCCTGCCTGGACTACGTCAAGCCCACGCCCACCCTGGGCACCAAGTGGGGCGTTGGCGGCACCTGCGTGAACGTGGGCTGCATTCCCAAGAAGCTGATGCACCAGGCCTCGCTCCTGGGCGAGGCTGTCCATGAGGCAGCCGCCTACGGCTGGAACGTGGACGACAAGATCAAGCCGGACTGGAACAAACTGGTGCAGTCCGTCCAGAACCACATTAAGTCCGTTAACTGGGTGACCCGTGTGGATCTGCGCGACAAGTAAGTGTTGGCCTATGGCTTCGCTCAAGAATTTCCCTTTTAATTGTACTGGTTTTCGTCTCCCAGGAAAGTGGAGTACATCAATGGCCTGGGCTCCTTTGTGGACTCGCACACCCTGGTGGCCAAGCTGAAGAGCGGCGATCGCACAATCACCGCCCAGACCTTCGTCATTGCCGTGGGCGGCCGACCTCGCTACCCGGACATTCCCGGAGCCGTGGAGCACGGCATCACCAGCGATGATCTGTTCAGTTTGGATCGCGAACCCGGCAAGACCTTGGTTGTGGGAGCTGGATGTAAGTGGTGTTTTTTATTGAACCATTAGCTTGATGATAACCCATTTGTCTTCTTCACTATTTGCAGACATTGGCCTTGAGTGCGCTGGATTCCTGAAGGGACTCGGCTACGAGCCCACAGTGATGGTGCGTTCCATTGTGCTGCGCGGCTTCGACCAACAGATGGCCGAGCTGGTGGCCTCCTCGATGGAGGAGCGCGGCATTCCCTTCCTGCGCAAATCGGTGCCCCTGTCCGTTGAGAAGCAGGACGACGGCAAGCTGCTGGTCAAGTACAAGAACACAGAGACCGGCGAGGAGGCCGAGGATGTCTTCGACACCGTGCTGTGGGCCATCGGCCGCAAGGGCCTGGTGGACGACCTGAACCTGCCCAATGCCGGTGTTACTGTGCAGAAGGACAAGATTCCAGTGGACTCGCAGGAGGCCACCAATGTGGCGAACATCTATGCCGTCGGCGACATTATCTACGGCAAGCCAGAGCTGACGCCCGTGGCCGTTCTGGCTGGTCGTCTGCTGGCCCGCCGCCTGTATGGTGGATCCACCCAGCGTATGGACTACAATGATGTGGCCACCACCGTGTTCACGCCCCTGGAGTACGCCTGCGTCGGTCTGAGCGAGGAGGATGCCGTCAAGCAGTACGGAGCCGATGAGGTGGAGGTATTCCACGGCTACTACAAGCCCACGGAGTTCTTCATTCCCCAGAAGAGCGTGCGCTACTGCTACCTGAAGGCGGTGGCCGAGCGCCATGGCGACCAGCGTGTCTATGGACTGCATTACCTTGGGCCAGTGGCCGGTGAGGTGATCCAGGGATTCGCGGCCGCCCTGAAGTCTGGCCTGACCATCAACACACTGATCAACACCGTGGGCATTCATCCCACGACCGCCGAGGAGTTCACCCGGCTGACCATCACCAAGCGCTCGGGATTGGACCCCACACCGGCCAGCTGCTGCAGCTAAAGCGGGATTGCAGCTCAGCCGCCGCTTGGGACGCCGTCGAAGCCCGCTTTGCTCCGCTCCTCCACCCGAATCCAACATCCAGCATGAATGGTTCTTGCCGCGGCTCAGCGATCGAAGAGTTCAACAGTTCCGTTTCAGTTTCCACAATTAACACCCACACAAAACAGCTCTGCGCAAGGGAGGGACACTGGGCAGCGATGGCGGGCGGAACTCCAGTGGAACTCCACGCGCGACCAGCCCATCCCACGACTGCTGCGCCGCCGACATGCACTCAAAATTTTGAATTTGTTTGAACCTATGAAATTAACCATGAAATCCCCTAAATGTATGGTTGAAAAATATAATTTTTCACCCACAAAACTGAGTTTTTACATTGATAGGGCTTTAATCTAATCTTAAACCAAAATTTGATGATAGTATAAAAAATATTAGGGTCAACCTTTATAGTTACTCGTTAGAAACATCTAACCTTTGACATATTACGTAAACGTCAATCAGTTAACTGGCTGTACTTTCATTAGCCATGCAAATTGTCTAATGGCTGTTTGAGTTGAGTTAAATGAATCGCTTTTGCCCCTTATAACCGATTTGTCTTGTGAACTGAAAACTTGCTAGCTACCAGCTAAATATAGACTAATTGTAAATGCAATTTGGGGTGGAGTATTGACCCATGAGGTTTTGCTAATGACCTGAGAGTAATGGCACCGCGGAGAATTTCCTGTGGGCCATGCACAAATAAAATAGGGAGAACTTCAAGGTTATTTTCAAAGGGAAATTGCGTGTTAAATTGTAATAAAAATTACACAGAGGCTAGATAAAATCTAACGCATATAGAATAACCTAATAAAATTAAGTTACCAGGATACCTAAACCTAATTGGATATAAGTAATTACTGATGCCAGAACATTGAAAAGGAGGATTCAATTAAATATGAAAATCAATACTATTCAAACAGTAATCGAATATAAATTATAAGGTTCTTGCACATGGTATGTTCTTTAGCCAGTACAACATCATTAATATCTCTAACATGGAACAAAGTGAGATGGCAATACAATAAACTAATTGCTTAATATAACGTCTTCCAAAACCCGGCCAGTAAGAAATCTCGTATATTTTCTATTACATTTTTATTTTGGTTTTCCTATTTCTCGTATTGAATAACTCCTTTGTTTTGAACAACTTCAAAGACATTTTCATTTACAACTGCCCCAGCGCTGGCGCCTCTGCAGCTGCGTCTGCTATGATCCTGCTCCTCGTCCCACACCTGCGCTGGCCCATCCTGCGGCTCGTCCTGCTGTCTTTGTGTCCGTTGGTAGATATTTAAGGGGGGAGTGCGGGGCAAAAGGTCGAAGAGCAGAGTTTAAAAAAAACATTAATTAGTTATTAGTTTAGATCAGACCGGAAGCGAGGGTGGAAGCCTAGATGGCCACGCTCTGCTTGGCCTCGTTCTCCCGCTGCTGCTTGTTGACCGCCGATATGCACTTGGCCATGGTGGGCGAGGCGCGCGAGACGGCGTCGGTCATGAAGTAGTCCTTTAGCTCCTTTAGCTGAACATCGATGGGGCCGCCGCCGATGGACTTGCTCTGCGAAAAAGGGAATCATCAGTGCTTTTCTCTAACCAAAGCCCCCTTCACTTACAACAGTGCCCGCTGCTCCGGCATCGCCGGCTGGCTCCAACTGTCCCAGGCGCGTTAGATGCGGCGCCACATCCTCCAGGCGGTTGCGCAGCTCATCCAGGTTGTCGTACGGCAGCGGCTGGGCCACCACCTCGGACAGGGCGCGCAGGATCTTCCAGTCCTCGCGGGCCATGCCCGGTGGCGAGACACCAGGCAGCGTCTGCTGTGGTCTGCCCTCCGTGTTCACGTAGATGGCCTGCTTCTCTGTGTAGGCGGCACCTGGCAGCACGGCATCGGCAATGGAGGCGCCATTGTCACCATGCGATCCAATGTAGACCACAAAACAGTCCTTGGGCAGCTGCTCGCGAGTAACCTTGCCGGCATCGGCGTTCAGCAGGAACAGCACCTTGGGCTGAGCCTTCAGGGCAACCTGTGCGCCAGCCTTGTAGCCCACATCGAGGGCGCCCACCTGGCCGGCGTTGTTCTGCAGCACGTTGAAGGCGTTCCAGTTCTGTGCAAGAAGATAAATTCAATTGGAAACCAGCTAAACAAAAGAAGGACAGCGAACTTACCGGCTTCTTCAGCTTCTTGCAGTACTCGGCAACGGTGGCGTGGATGGCGGCGCCATCGGCACGCTCCAACAGATCGGCACCAATGATGATGGCCGGCTTCTTGGCACCCTCCAGAACCTTGGAGAAGGCATGCGAGCCGGAGCACACATCCTTGACCAAAGCGGCATCGGCACCGAGGTTCTCGTGGTCGTAGGACAGATCAATCTTGGGTCCAATCGAGGCAATCTGCAGTTCGTTGTGGACATAGGCCTTGCGCAGACGGGTGTTGACCAAGGGAGCCTCGTAACGGGGATTGGTGCCCACCAGGAGGACGGCGTCGGCCTCCTCCAAACCGGCGATGGTGCTGTTCAACAGATAATTGGCCCGCGAATCGGTTCCGCCCTGGACGAAGCCCTGCTCAGTGGTGACCACCTCGCTGCCCAGACGGTTCAGCAGATCCTTGAGAGCCACTTGAGCCTCCAGATCGGCCAGCTGGCCGGAGATACCGGCAATCTGTCCACCGGCAGCCTTGACGGCCTTAGCCACGGCGATGAGGGCGCCCTCCCACTCCACGGCCTGTAGTTCGCCGTTGGGCATGCGCACCATGGGTGCCACCAGGCGCTGGCGCTTCAAGCCATCGCAGGCGAAGCGCGACTTGTCGGCCAGCCACTCCTCGTTGACGTCCTCGTTCTCGCGGGGCAGAATGCGCAGCACCTCGTTGGTCCGAGTGCTGATCACAATGTTGCTGCCGACGGCATCCAGGACATCAATGCTGCTCACCTTGCGGATCTCCCAGGGACGAGCCACGAAGCTGTACGGCTTGTTGGTAAGCGCTCCCACGGGGCACAGGTCGATCACGTTGCCGGAGAGTTCAGTGAGGAAGAGCTTCTCCACGTAGGTGCCGATCTGCATGTCGTTGCCACGGCCAGTGGTGCCCAAATCATCAACGCCGGCGATCTCGGAGGCGAAGCGAATACACCTAGTGCAGTGGATGCAGCGGGTCATGATGGTCTTGACCAGCGGTCCGATGTCCTTGTCCTCCACAGCGCTGAGGGGTTAAAGGGGTTATGTTACAAGGGTTTGCATCATCTCGATCCACTTTCACCTACCGCTTGCCCGTGTAGTTGATGTCCGTGAAGCGGGATCGATCGGATCCAAAAGCCATGGCCTGATCCTGCAGATCGCACTCGCCGCCCTGGTCGCAGATGGGGCAATCGAGGGGATGGTTCATCAGCAGGAACTCCATGACGCCCTCGCGTGCCTTGCGGGTCAGATCGGAGTTGGTCTTGATGCGCCAGCCCTTCATCACTGGCATGGCGCAGGCGGCCACTGGCTTGGGGCTCTTCTCCACCTCCACCAGGCACATCCTGCAGTTGCCGGCCACGGCGAGTCGTTCGTGGTAGCAGAATCTGGGTATCTCCACGCCGATCTGGGCAGCGGCCTGTGGGTAACAAACACACAGATGGGATGGGATTAGATGGGTGAGGGAGTTGCCCAGGCTATAGTCAGCGATCCTTACCTGCAGCACGGTGGTGCCGGGTGCCACCTGCACGGGAATGTCGTCCACAAAGACCTCGATCTTCTCGGGCGCCTTCGCCGGCGTCTGGGCCACCATGGCGCTGGTGCGCACTGCCCGGCTGGCCATCTGATGTGTGGGCGAGCCCAGAGCGCCCAGCGCCTTGACTAGCGGTGCCCGTATCATATTTTCTGCAATGAATTAGCAGCAGTGGTAACCCAAAATTCAGTTGAAATCGATGGAGCCAAAGGGAAATTACATAAGTGTTTTGGTACACTGGTTCGGTCAACACTACCAGGATATCGATTGTTTGTAGCTTGTGTGTGGTTGCTCTGCCACTTCACCAATTGGTATACACTGGGTAAGGGCTCTTTAAAGGCCCCAAAAGTGTACGAAAACCTACCGAAATGCTGGAAAATATTCCTGTGGAGCTCTTAATGCGGAGACAACTTTTTTTTATCGGTTTGCTTTGACAGTGGCACCGCGTTGCCAACTGCCGCGTTGACAGCTGACCAACCGCGCTCAGTTATCGGTTTTTAAATAACTAATTAATTAGTTATTCAGGCTCTGGCGATGTAATACGAATTTAATAATTTTTATCATTTCTATTACCAAATTCTATAATTTTTTTACAAAAGATTTTATCACCTTTATTGTTTTTTAAGAGTAGTTGGCAACGCACCTGCTGCCAGCTGTTCAGAATTTGTTTGGCCATTCACATGTAAGCGCGCTTGTTTTCAAATTCAAATCACAACTCAAAGATGGCGCCACTTAACAGTTCCCTTATTTTATCCAATTTAAAAAAAAAACATATTACTTACATTGTTTTTACAGATTTTATTAACAATAACATCTTGTAAATCTAAATATTTTTCCTAATTTTAAAAAACAACTTCTAGAAAATTATTGCTTTCTATTTTCAAGTGTCCTTTTCTGCATTTCTTTCATATTTGTGAAGGATAAAACCACTATAAAACAGCAATTAATATGTTTTTTAAACATTTGTTAACATTTTTTATCCTTGTTAAAAGTGTTCAACCAATATTTGCAATTTGTTTCAAAATAAATGCTTACCAACTTTTTCTTAAGTTCGGAAATTTGTAATTATCTCAGACAACGAAAAATTATATTAACTTCAAGAAGATATATCAGATATGGGAACTGGTAAAGGGGACTTAGATGTTTTACTAAATTTGTTGTTATTTATTTTTGTTGCTGTTGTTAAATAATACAGAAGCGTTCTTTGCCATCCGCAACTGCCTTATCAGTCAACACGCACGCACACAAATGCATATCTTTTCAGGATCTTCAGCGCTTAATTCGAATTAATCATCGCATAAATTACCGGCTTAAAAGTCCAATGCAGCTCTCCCGCGCTCTTGCACTACACAGGAAAAAATTAATGTGATTTTGAATGCATTTTTTAAAGGATTTCATTTAATTTTATTGTTGCCATTGTTATTGTAACAGCAATATTTTTAAATATTTTAAATTAATATAAACGAAAAAATATTTCTTTTTTGTTTTGCTATACATATATACAAAAAAAGGGTAACCGCAAAAGCATTACATATTTTAATATTATAAAAATAAGAAGAATTATTTATAAATTTAAAAAAAAAATTGTGTAGAAGTGGAATTTGAACTTGTGTGCTTGTTTAAATATGATCCTGTTTTGAAATTTTAACAAAAAGTGTGTTGCACTTGAATTTCAAATCCAATTTTTTCATTTCTTTTCCGTGTAAGAGCAAAAAAATTATGAGGCCTCAGAAGACTCAAAACTGGTTGCGACAACTTTCGTTGCGGCCGCCGAAGAAGTCGCCCCGTTTCGGCCAAGTTAGTTGGCGTTTTAGCTCCGCTCGAGACGGTCGTGGATCGGAAAAGACCCACAAGTCGCATTTATACTATACCATACCATATAGTATATATCTGGAAATAGCCGAAAGAAAGGTGCGCGCATGCGCATGGAAAGCGGCTAAAGCGGGAAAAGCGGCAAAAGCGAGTGGTGTGTTCTGCAAGACGGAGCGTGAAGTGCGGCATTGTTTGCATTTTATTTTTCAGTTAGCATTTTGTTTTGTTTTTGTATTGTGTTTGCCCAAATATGCGGATAAATATGCGGAAAACCTAATCTGTCAAAAAAAAAAAAAAAAATAAAAACAACATAAACGTAACAATAATAAGCGACGTCAACTGGCTGGCCATATCGATTGCATCGAGTGGTTCTCCATACATATGTGACACTTTTCCGCGGCGCAAAAAACAGGTTGCCATTACAGCCAGCACCTAGGGCACCTTGCTGCCTGGCTCACCTGTTCACCAGTTCACCTGGATCCCCGGATCACCTGCTGGTGGTCATGCTGCCAAAGTGTTTCTACAAATAAAGAAAGCAAGGGGAAAAGCTGAAAGGTCTTCGAAAGGAGCTAGTCCGCCACAGCGGAGCAGGCGGAGGGCTCTAAACCCATCCCATCCGATCCCATTCGATCCGATTCGATTCGATCCTAGGTCCAGGTCGAGTTCGATACCCAGTTGCAGATCCAGGATGTCGGACATCTACTACTGCAGCAACAGCCAGGTGAGTTCTAGTTCAAATCAATTACCCCACGGCTGCCAGGAAATGCGGCTAATTCCAGCGGGCAGTAGTTAAACTTAATCAGAGGTCTGAAAGTACACATTTCTCCGGTTTTTAATTGGCTTATTAACCGAACTTGGAACTTTTCTTTTTTTTTGCGCAGGGTAGTAGTTCTGCATGGCTTATTTATCACGAATTATATCTCTAAGTGTATTTATCGCTTAATTAAAAATCAGTCTAGTTGTTGAACTAAATTACTGATTTAGCTGGTTTTTAATTTTAGTTATTGTCTCACCTTGATTTTTTCATGTTTAATAATATCAGTAAAAAACGCTGAGTACTTAAAAAGTCTACGGAGTTATTGAATTATTATTTTAAATATCTTGTTCCACTTTTTTAAAATAAAAATTTAAAAAAAAACAAAATTTTAAGTGTGTTAAAAATCATATATAAAAAAAAGCTCTTAATGGAAATTTGTTTTTATTAAAGAAGGATAAATTTTTTAACAGTTGACACAATAAGTCTGACCCAATTATCACGATTTAAAACAATTTAAAGAAATATTCATTTGCAAACTTCAATATTTTCCTGTTATTTGTAAATAATTTTAGCATCTGAGTAGTTTATGAATTCCCACGATTTTTTTTTAACAATTTATTAAATAAACAAGATGCTGTTAAGAATTTATATCTCCTAAAATACCAAACATTTTATCCAGTATCCTATGAAACTGAGCAGTTCATTGATTAAAAATGCAATTCAGATACTTTCAACACAGTTGAGATACATATTTGTTGCTTAAAAATCTCGAATAGTGCAGGCCAGTAAAACAATTTAAACCTCTCCCAGAGCCCGGGGGCCAAAAATCAAGTGCATTGTTTCGACATTTCCCAGACAATAGTGAAATATCCGTGGATTCCTGGGGGCCATTTACCATACTTCGCCATGCCTTCAAAATGGCTTTCAAAATTCCACAGAAAAATCCAATGGGTCTGCGATTATGGGGATTCTTAAAAGGGCAACAATCTTTGCTCATTTTTTTGTTTTGGCTTAGTTTTCTTTGGTTTATTTTTGGTCACTCGACTTAAACGGCTTTCCAATCGCTGTCATAATTGGAAATCGCTGAGCAGCCATAATTAATGAAACAAAAGTAAAAGCGTCGTTAAAAAAAACAGTAACTGTTTGGATTTTGTCGTGCTGCGGAATTATTGCATAATGCTGCACTAGTCGGTGATATCGGTAACCTGCTAACGATTTCCAATCGACAATCAGCAACGGCATCGCAGCAATAATGCCAATAGTACTCCATATGCAGCTCGATATGGGCACAGTGGTCACTGGATGTGAACGCCCTCCTATGTGCAACCATTAATTAACCAGGCCATTGATACGGCCTGTATTGTAATTATAGTGCTGGTGATCGTCTGTAATTAAGTGAAGGATAGTCAGTTTGATTCCCTTCAAATGAAATACTAATGAATTTGGGCCTTTTTATGATCATTAATCTTTCAAGCAAAAGGTAGAAGGGATTTCAATGAAGAAATTCATTCACAAGACTTGCATACATATCTAAAATAAATACGAAATTAATATAAAAACAAGGAAGAACGCTATAGTCGAGTACCTCGACTATCAGATACCCGTTACTCAGCTATATGGAGATATGCAAGCAGCAAAGTATACAGATTTAAGCGTTATGGGCGTTAAAGTGGGCGTGGCAAATTTTTTTTTGGATCAATCGATAGGTATCGACGAGACCAATACATTTCAGTTAAAATTTTTTATCTAGCATGAAAATTGTGGGCGTCACAGGTTTTCGCGGTTTGTGGGCGTTAAAGTGGGCGTGGCAAACTTTTTTTTGGGTCAATCGATAGGTATTGATGAGAACAATACACTTCAGTTAAAATTTTTATTCTAGCATCAAAACTGTAGGAGCCACAGTTTTGGGCGGTTTGTGGGCGTTAGAGTGGGCGTGGCACTGTGCCGAAACAAACTTGCGCTGCGTAAGAAGCTCAGGAATCTTTACGCCAAATCTCAATAGCCTAGCTCCCATAGTTTCCGAGATCTCAGCGTTCATCCGGACGGACAGACAGACGGACATGGCTAGATCGACTCGGCTAGTGATCCTGATCAAGAATATATATACTTTGTGGGGTCGGAAACGCTTCCTTCTGCCTGTTACATACTTTCCGACGAATCTAGTATACCCTTTTACTCTACGAGTAACGGGTATAATAAAGAATATACAATCTTATCATTTTTACGACAATATATAACTAAAGTTTTTAGGGTTAAATACATATTATTTATATTTATATACCAGATTATTTCTTATTTTACAAGATTCAAGTTTTTATTGATAATCAATATTTTTAAACGACTACAAATATTTTAAATATAATATTCTCACTATAATGGCTTATAATTTCCCTGAAGTAATATTTCGGATCATTTTTATGATCATTAATCTTTATAGCAAAAGGTAGAAGGGATTTCAATGAAGAAATTCATTCACAAAACTTGCATACATATCTAAAATAAATACGAAATTAATATAAAAATAGAGAATGTACAATCTTATCATTTTTAAGCCAATATATAACTAAAATTGTAAGGGTTTAATACATATTATTTAATTACCAGATTTATTCTTATTAAGAGACTTAAGATTTTGATTGATACCTAATATTTTTAAACAATTACAAATATTTTGGATATACTATCTTCCCTGTAAAGGTTTATATTTTCCCTGAAGTAATATTTTGGATACAATTTTGAATGACTTTTTCTTACAAGATATCATATTGATCTTATCACTATCTCAATAATTTTAAGTGGCATTCCACTGTACCTGGAATTTGACCCACTGTGTGTGCCTGGGCTACTATAAAATTTATGGAAATTACAAGGCCACGCCCCCTTTTCGGTACATGGGGCGGCAGCATCCCCACACACACACACACACA